GCTTTGCTCCACGTTCCCTGGGCAAGGGACGGTCCGGATGGCACGGCCCCGCTGGCTCACACGGGCGCTGCGTGCTCCTCACGTGGACCCGCTCAGATGAGCGACGGCACTGACCTCCTCTGTCGAGCAGATGAGTCTCCGGCTGAGCCACTGGTAGCAGAGCAGGCCAAGGATCACCATCTTCAGAATGAGGTTCCTGGGGAGCAGGAGCAGGGCCGGGAGACCCTGAGCCCTGGAGACGGAGGGGCCGAGCCCCACAGACGGGGTGCCTGGCCCCAAAGCCTCCCCCACGCTGCAGGTGGGGGTGCAGGATGCTCCCCCTGTCCAGCCTACCTGCAGATCGCCACGTAGACCTGCGCCACAGGGGATTCCTGCTTCTCCCACATCGCCAGCAAGTTGTACAGGTGGGACATCAGCACGTTGAGGACAGACACCATGAGGGGCAGGACCAGCAGGATGGCTTCCTGCTGCTGCTTGCTGCTGCCCCGCGCTCGGTGGTCCTCCTGAATCTGGCGAGAGGGTACCAGGGTGATCCAGGGTGAGCGTGCGGCTGCCGGCAGCCCGGCGCCCTCAGGGAGGGCAGCAAACGCCGACACCAGAAGAGGAGCTGCAACGGGGGTGCCCCTGCCTCCCAAGGCTGCTCTGCCCTCCCTCCCCAGTACCCCACCCCAGCTCCCGACACCAGGGCGGGAGGGCCCGTGCCAAGGGGCCGCACTCACCACGTGCATGTGCTCTGAGAAGTAGTGCACAGCCAACACGCAGCCCAGCACCATGCTCAGCGAGAGGGCCCAGCCCAGGAGAAGCACAGCAGTGCGCCCCAGGCGCTGGCAGAGGCTCAGGGAGGTCGAGCGGGACCGCCGCTCCGTGAGCAGCTCCTGGAAGAGAGCAGTGCCAGCGCTGCTGAACACGCTCCGGGTCCGGAGCGAGGGTTTGTCCTGCCCCACTGAGGTGGGAGCAATGGACAAAGCGGTGGTGCAGGGTCGGGGTCAGGGGTATTTTCAGCTGCAGGACTGCCCCGTGCAGCGGGTAGGAGAGGGGTGCTGAGCCCAGGGTCTGAACTGGCTCCTGGGAACGCCTTTGCCTTCCCACCGCAGGTTGCAGGGGCTGATGGCAGCCCAGGTCCTCACCTTCAGCTGGGTGCAGATGTTCTCACACTGCAGCTTCACTGAGCGCCTCTGGATCACCTTGAAGTCCCAGGCACAGAAGACTTTGACGGCCAGGTCCCCCATGGAGCTGCCCACGCGGTAGCTCTCCCGGAAGGAGCGGGACACGCTGCAGCGAGGGGGAGGGTGTCAGGGCATCAGGGCTGGGCAGAAGGGGAAGGCTGGCAGTGCCGGAGGCGCTGCTGACCCACCTGTACACCAGCAGGACGCAGGTGATGAGGAAGGTGACCCCAATGCTGAATATGTAGGCCAGCGGCATGTTGTACGGGAGCGGGGGGGCTGCGAGGGGGCACGTGCTGCTGTTGGGGCTGGAGGCGCAGGGGTCATTGAGGGTGATGTTGCTGTAGTAGCCGTAGTACAGCAGCGAGTGAGTGAAGTAGCCCTGTGGGAAAGTGCACGATATGGCCCATGGTGATCTCGCAACTCCCTGCCCAGCCTGGCACATCTGTGCCAGCCCCTGGGGACACAGAGCCCTGGGCTGGGGCAGCACCAGGCACCCCCTCCTGCACCCATGGCACTGGAGGTCCCAGGGCCCCGGCTGCACGAGGGCAAGAACTGGGGGCGTGGTGGGGATGCAGGGCGGTGACCGGGTGATCGCTGTGGTGGGGGATACGGGGATGCAAAGCTGGGCCCAGGCTTGGAGCAGCCGCTGGCCCGGGGACGCGCTGGTGCTGATGATGTGCTGACGGTGCTTACCGCTCCAGTGAGGAGCTCGAGGCCGGTGAAGGGCTGGGGGTTTGCCGAGGCAGGGGGATACGCAGCCTGCAGGGCCACCACAAAGACCAGGAGAATGAGGAATGAGATGTTGAACATAAGGAGTGTCTTGAGGAAGAGGAAGTAGGAGAGGACACTGGAGCCAAAGCGGCCGCTGATCTGCTTCAGGGCGTAGTGCCAGGGCTGTGCGGCGGGGAGCACGGAGAGGAGCCTGTACCAGAGGCCCCGGCAGCTCTGTGGAGAAGAAGCCTGGGGAGAGCACCGGGGCTGGAGCCCGTACCAGAGCCCCCAACGGCTGCTGTGCAGACCCGCGCCCCAGACTTACGAGGGTGATGTAGTCCTTGGACCGTCCGCAGGGAGAGGAGGAGTGCTGGGCGTGCTGCCTCAGGGTGCCCCTCTGCCAGCTCAGCTCCTGCCTGCCCAGCAGAGAGGGAGGTCAGAGGGTGGCACAGGCCCTGGGACGGCTCCGGCTGGGGGAGCCCTGCCTGGCTGCGGGGAGAGGACCTACCGGAGGATGCGTTTCTCTGCCAGGCTGAGGGGCACGGTGAGCAGCATGTGGCTGCGCTGGCTGGGCGAGAGGCTCAGCAGCTCCTTCGCCAACAGGCTTCGCTTGTCTGGGGGCACAAAGGGGCTCAGCGGGACACGGCAA